ACACTGATGCCACGTTTTAGTTTGGCCGCCCCTAACTCTCTTCCAACCATCCCCAATACTAGTCATCATAGCGCGTCGTGGTAATCGGTGTTCAGGCATACGTAACACATGGCCCAACCATCTCAGTCGATGAAGATTCATCACCTCATCAACTGATTTACCAACGTTCCCTAATACCCTGCGTCTAACCTCACTATTACTTACCCGGTTATCCCAGCAGATGCGAGCAATATTTCTAAGACATCTGTAGTTAAGTACATCAGTAGTTAAGTACGGAAAAATTAGAAAGTATATTCCGCGCTGGTTAGTAATTTTATCGCCACTGCTGCAGACAGCATTTTTTAATCAGTGAGTTCTGAGAAAAAAGAGTTTTAGGGACAAAACTAGTCTAAATTGGCTGTATCACTTTATTACATATTTACTGAATGGTTATAATTTAAACAACTATCACACAGGTATCGGTTGAAAAATAGTTTATCACCTGCTGGCAGATTTTTATAGAAACTAATCGTTCAAACATAAGGATTTGTTGTGGATATTATAGTAATTTCATTAGTTGAGATTATGAGTCAATTGAAGCTTTCAGGTTTTCCATGGTGGTCTAGCTTCATTTGACTCATGATCTCAACTATATAAACGTACTATATCAAATAAAATGATAACAATCAATAATAATCCATTTTGGCATAGAAAATTTATGATTTCATTAATTTTCCTTAGCTTTCCAAAAGACTGATCATTAAGCATGTATCTTGTTATCTAACTGTTATTAACGTTTAGATATATTTGGTCTTTTTACATAAAATACTGCAAGAGTGTTGACAGCTTAAACATCTGAGTCATCTATTTTTTCAGTTATAGAAATATCGCAATAAATTTGGTTACTTAAAATTTATTTTAATGAAGTAATTACATATGTCAACCCAAGATTTAAAAGCGGATACTATAGTGATGATTGAATTTTCATTCTTTTCTGTCTTTTGATAAAAAACAATAAAGAATATATATTGGAAGTCATAAGTTGAGTAGTACTAGTTTGGTGCATAACTTTATGAATACTTTTAAGATTAAGGATAAATGACACACAAGATTTAGTGAAAGTAACATTAATTTAAGATTTTAAGTGTTTAGAAAATAAATTCAATTCGTAGCAATATCAGATTTTTTCACTGTGATGAAGTATATATTACTGGATGAAATAATCCTAATGACAATATACTTACTTCTTAGGAGAAATACGATTTTCTTAATATCAACAATGACATCCTATTAAGATGAATTCATGCAGTACCATGGGATATTAACTGCAGCGAATGATGATATAAAAATGACAGCGATGTGTTGATCTTGCAATTTATAAGTTTCTTTAAAAATAAACTGTTATGGTAAAGAATATCATTTAGAAAAACATTTTATAAATATTATTATAGATTTCTTCTTAATATCAGTCCAGAAATACTGTCCCTATTAATCATCAAATTTTTGCGAAGCAAACCTAAATGTGTAATCATTGTCACGAGGTAATGTTGGCTACCAGTTGTTCATAATAAGTGATAGTCAGAACTACGGTGACATTACATAGTTTGAGGTAGTCGACAGGGACATTTTGCCCTAGGTTTCATGCTTTTTGACGTTTTTGAGTAAGGTATATCTGCAACATTGGAGGACTAGTGTTTTTTCATGGGTTTAAATCGTAGTCATCCAGTTTTACATTCAAAGATTTTACTACTGAGTTATTTAAGACTCTACTGACCTCCTGTAGGAATGAGATGTATTTACAAATGATCGATTACCAACCAGTGACCAATGGCATGTTTTCCAACTACTTCTTAATGCAGATCATATACCATCGATCAAGTTACAATATAGACTCTAGTTTAATTAACTCGAAATCGGATATACTGTGTTTCCCAAAGACCATCACAACATAGTAGACGCGATTTTGATTTACCTAGCGTGGTAGCCACATTTAAAACTGATCGATAGGACCTGACCACTACTAATAATGACTTGACGGACATATCAGTCACTACTCAATAGAAAATCAATTGGAGATTTAGTGAGTTGCTGAAATGGATAGTGACAGAAGGGTAGCTTTCATGGGAAGATTACAGAAAGAAATTCAGTTTAATACAAAGAAAGCTTTTATCCACATCTAATAAATTCATAATAAGATATTATTGCCAGGTTTACTTAAATAAAATTGCCATAAAACAACTAAACATAAACGGCATAACCTTTAAATAAATCCATTCAAAAAGTTACTTGACAACAGAAATATTGCCTAAGACGGATTTTTAATGGTTACAGATTATAGTATAATATCATATATGTCAGATCCATGATCATCTTAGTTGGTTCCATGTCCAAACAATAAAACATTCCTAAAATCGAATATGTCTGATGATTTTATCTGTAAAGTAAACTTTCGTGTGAATCAGTTGAACTAAAGATCATCCTAATTTTTTAAAAAGTGTGTGTCAGACTTTCATTATCCTAAAAATTAATATGAGAGATCTTCAGACAGATAAAGAAGTATCCGACAGTTATTTTTTCGTGTAAATAGATATATTACTATGTATATTCTATAAAAGATATGATGTATCACACGAAAGTTTTAGTCGATTAACAGTTTGATTTATAACAAAACTTATGGACGTATCAAACCATATAATTAATGATACGAACTATCGTATAGTTTACAGGTTCGAGTCAAGTAGTTGAGTTTGTAGATGTAAACCTCGGTAGTTCAAGGATAAATCAGTAGCCGAGCGACCTGAAGATTCTCGGTCGGGTAGAATATATTCTAGTAATGAGTCCTGTGTTAAGAAAATGAAGTTCTATAGTGCTACGTGCTGTTTCGTATTATCATTCCTAATGTCAGTTTATGACGTAACTATGAACTATGATTCTGTTTATGTTTTACATAACTTGCGATGTTGATGAAGAAACTTAGTTCGTGGTTTTTACTTCACTCAAATAGTTCCTGTTTTTGGTTTTCGATTGACTAGATAACTAAATTATGTATAGTATGTTCAATCGTTTTATTACTATCCATGATTCAATATTATATGAAGTTGAAGACTACATATTTGAAAGTTTATATGTTTTCTTTACCAAATTTTGTATTTCTTAGTACGGTAGTATTTTGATAAATTAAATAATTGTATAAAACAATCATATTTAGATAATATCTTTCACTTGTAATCATAAATCTATAATATGAGTTGCTGAATCTCTGTCATCCTGAGTATGTCTAAATAAGCCTCTGTTTGAAAATATAAATTTGAATAAAAAAGGATTAATATAAACATATTGGGTTTCATAGATTTGGAATACATAAGCAAATGAGCGTCGAATTTACTCACAAATTACTCTATTCAAGATTACGACATGTCTTTTTAATAGTAAACATTTATTTTGATGAAATATACCGACTTATTAGTTTTATTCTTTAACTCAAATATATTCGACAGAATTTGACAACAGTTGTTTTCTGGCAACAACATGCTCCATCAGAAATGAATCTCTATGTAACGTTTTATGTTCTATATTTATATAATACAGTAATATTAGTGAATATAAAACCTTTTATTATTAGAATGATACATACATTTTGAAAAACATTATTATGTTAACTTGAAAAAAAATGATGTAGAAATTTTTATGCGTATTTATAGGATGACAGACATTGTGCACATTAGTATCTATGCAATGTGTCATTTAATAATGAAACTAGGTTTCTTACTTAATAAAGATTTAAAACGTTTAGTTAACTTGTCGAAAATCATTTTAAAAATTAAAAAATAATCAGACTCATAAATTATGTGAAAGATTGATATACGTAAATATATATAGTGACTTGATTTATAGAGTTGGTAGTTCAGTCATACTGCACTTGTGTAGTTGCTCGATTTAATATATAAGTGAGTAGATCCTTTCATGTGAAAACTGTAATCATTAAACCACAGAAGAAAAACCTGAATCTCGATACATAACATTGACAGATGAAATTACCTTTATGTTTGTAACTGATACAAGGACATATTACTCAACTGAGCTTTTATACAACAAACAGCTGAACATAACAACAATGTCAGCGATTGTTATTCGTAAAATGGAGTTGAATAAAACCAAAAAACTGGCTTTCATTTCCTTAAGAATATCTGAAGGGGTTTTGTGGAGATTTTAGTAATTTTATAGAGTTGAGACCATGAGTCAATTGAAGCTAGATCACCATGGATAATCGTTGAATGCCGGCTCAGTAGTCTATCGGTTAAGTGTTCTGGCGCGAGACTGGTAGGTATTGGGTTCGAAACTCACAAAGTTGGATCGTGGAGGAGGAGTCCTATGACAGGACGAAACGGCCGTCCAGTGCTTCCATGTTTTTCATGGTGGTCTAGCTTCAATTGACTCATGATCTCAACTCTATTAAAAATATCTATAAATAATTGGTTATATTAATTTGCTTATTTAAAAATTCATGTTTTCCATATGAATCTATGGTAAACATATATAAACAGAACAGAATAACAAGCGTCTTAACTACATTATTTTCATCCATAGTTTACAACTAATTGAAAACCTTCGTTTTACACATAACTTAAATTTAAATACTTTAAGGTTAGTGTATTAGCGTTAACATAAATCGGTGACATGAAAGACCCGATTTGAATTCATTATTACTGTCTGCAGTTGATCTTATAAATGAATTTGTAAGCCAAAATAAAAATTAACATTTGAAAATTCATTAATATTGGTTTTACTTAGTTGGATGACAATTCTTGGAAAGCTTCAGATAATACCTTATGATATATATATAAATTCCAAATAACTGATAAAAATCGAATAATAATGTTAAAATGAGATACGTAGAACGTATGCAAGAATTTCGCTAGTCCTTTTTACCCACATTTAAGACTTTCGGAAAATGTAATGTATCTTGATAACAGTTTTCACTTATTTTCTATGTATTCTATTCTTCCTTGTTTCAATGTCAGACAGCACAGCAACAACTGATACAAAATCCAAAACAAATGTTCCTCCACTAAAAAAGATCATACGATCATCCATTACAGAAACTGAAGAAGTTAAAGAGAAATCTGTCAAATCTTACTTTGATACTGTTTCATCAGCTGGTTATCCTACATCACCACCGGACTTTTCTGATTATTTTAAGACACGTATAACAAATAAATATCCAAGTTATTCATCTTCTTGCAGTTCATATCAATATCATCATCATGTGGAAAATGTACCTAAAAAATCTGATGAAAATATCAATGGTCATAGCAATTTGACGCCACATAAAGTTTTATCTACGGTTACTAAGATAGCACCAGAGAGTAATGCGTCTCAAACAAACAATTATGAAAGTATATCAAGGCCACAAATCAGTGTTCCTATAAAAATACGACGTATACCACAAGATGTTCGGGTAATTCATACATCAAATACACCTACCTTAAATAGATTAGATGAATTTAAACGGAACTGTGAACGAGCAACAAGACAATGGGAACAAGTTATCAATAATAAAAATGGTAATAAATTGACAGAAGAAGTAATGGCTCACAGAATAGCTGAATTGGAATCCTGTGTAAAAGAGGCTGAAAAGTAAGTGAGTTTACACACATGCAATAGTCTTAGTTTAAATACTTAATTTCAATCTGATAATATGAATCTGATTATTTTACTGATCAAGGAATATGATATGGCTGAAACCAAAAATCAAACTGCCTGTTACGCAGTTACCTCATCAACTGGTCAGTTAATTATAACAATGAACTTCTTGACTGACTAGTTTCCCTGGAAATGTTTTATATGTGTCTATTTGAAGCAAATATGTTTAAATATTTAGTAAAGTTAATAATGCTCTAAGTAATTCGTCTATTTCTAGTTTAAAGCGGTGTAAATGTATTATTTATCAATTGTTATGTAAATTTTAAGATGAAAAAACAGAATAATGCACTTTTTTGAGCCTCAATTTAGATGAGGAGTAGTGGTAGCAAATAACTTCTTAAATCTAGGTGGATGGGATGGGATTTTAATTCGTAAGCTTATGAATATGAGCCGGAAACCTATGCCAATAATCCAGTGGTTTTTAATTTTAAGCTCATTAATTTAAAGTACATTTATTATTTATTAAAAAAGCTTGAAAAAGAAGAAAGTAATGTTAATGGCTATCATGCTCAAGACATTCAAAGCGTTCACGTAAATAACGTTAATTCTCAAGATGCGTCAGTTATGGGACACATATTAATATAACATTAATAAATAATATGATGTTGAAAACAGATTAGATTACAATGTTCAGCAACATATTACTCAATTATATTGTGAAGTTTAGAATGCTTCACTGGAATATATCCTCATGAAATTAACCGCTTCATTACAAATTGATTTGCATGTATTTTTGCTGCTGTCACTTAAGGAATTACTTATACATATCGTTGATTTTAATAATAATCTTCCAAGAGTGTAAATGTTTCAATCTGGGATCACTTATGACATCTCACAAACACAATTTTTTCAATATAGTTTATTTGAGTAATTTTTGATGTCATTTGTGAAATAGATATCCACAGAACCGAATCAAACTCTGTGATTAGAGACTACACAATTATGAAAAACTCTTGTTTTTATAATAACGAGTCCTCTAAACCGAGTTTTATAAATTAATTCAACAATTATGGGGAAAACAGAAACTATATTTAAAAGATCGATTAAATAACTTCCTTTTTCTTCTCAGTATTCGAAATAAAACTTGGCTGAGCAATAAACAGTAGGTAACACAATTGTCATTCTTAAATAAAAATACTAATTTAAAAATAGTATTAGATGACTTAATATTTTCTATATCTATTCTTCTTAATAAAATTTTCTTCAGTGAATTGTTTTTGTAACCTACAGGACAGTCAATCGATTGTGCACAGTCAGCTTTTCTTGCGAAAAACATTTGTAAATGACATAACATAACAGGGATTGTGACCAGTCATATTAGATTACATCCAGTTCCTATACTTTAGCTAAAATATAAGTCAACCTAATCGCTAAAATTAGACTACCATGTTTAAAGACCTCCATGGTCAATCCTTCTGGACCAGCTGCTCTTCCTCGATTCAGATTGGTTTGACTTTTCAAACTTCGGCTATAGTCGGGAGACCAACTATAATGTTCCATTCAGGCTGTCTGGGGATGATGGTTAACTATAGAGTAGCTGAAGGCCAGCTAAACTGTTCTCTAAAGTGTTCTGCACATCGTTTCAAAGATTGTCTCACCTACACTTGACTTCTTAATTCCGGTTCCTTTTATTAGTCTGAAAAGTTGTGTGGTGTTGCGAACAGCCGATGCCTTTTCCATCTCTTTTACTTTCGTTACCCACCACTGCTCATGGTCGTTCCTTAGACTTTTGGCCAACCTAGATGTGATTCGCTTTCGCTCTTCATGGTGTTGAGAGTCTGATGGGATGAGTTTACGAGAACCCATCAGTACAATAGACTTAGAAGAAATCTACTGGTATTTTGTAACCCTTTGGATTAAATCACTAATAGATGTCACTGCTGTTTCCAGAGCTGTTTGTATATCTTTTCAAGCAACACCTGGGTCAGCCTCGTTTTCATAACTGCCCAAATGTGAATTCAGTTGTTTCTGGAATCTACTTTTGGCATTCTCATTGCTGAGTTCAACTCTAATGGGTCTTCTTAGTGTGGTTTTTCGGCTTCCAGTGAGGCGCAGGCAAATGCATGCTCACATCAGAGTATGATCCTTGACTAAGCATGTATTCCAGAAAGGGCGACACTCTTCTATCTAGCCTGTCCAACTATGATTGAGGGTAATATGGTCTATTTGAGTTCATCAGTCACCATTATCTGTTTCCTGAACCAGAATAATAAAATATCCAGCTAAATGTATTTCTGATTGGTTTAAGCTACCTAACTGAGCATTAAAGTCACCTGCTACGAATACTATGTCTGAGCTTTCAGAAGAAGCTCGGAAAGCTTTTTGTAAAATTCATCTTTCACTTCATCTTGACTGCAGTCAGTGGGAGTGTAGGCAGAAACGACGAAAAGCAACTGTGTGTGTCCTTTCCCTTCCGAGTTCTTACGGAGCCGTTCGGTCAAACATAGGCAACTGTTTACGGGGATCCATCCTAACAGTGCTTGTTCTGCCTACACCTGCCAGCCCACGAGAACTAGTCATCGGGTCTACAGATACACGGAGGGTGTTTCTCGTCGGTTCTCCGTTTTGGCAAGGTGAGAGCAAGTGAATAATTACACTAGGATCCTGTATGTATATTTCGGAGACACAGTATACATCAACAGTACGAGATTCTAAAGTTTTGGCTAAGTGGGCCTGCTGGCCGATTTGACATAGAGTGCATACCTTGAAAGCTTCAATGTGTAATTGTGAGCAAGACTTCAATATACCTGGGACAGTATTTTGCTCACTAGAGTCGTTAGCTATGGTGACACTTGAGAAGAAAGCCAAAAGGGGAAGTTTAATGTTGAAATTGGATGTAGGAGGAATAATAAGAATTGAGGAGGGAGATTGATTACGAATATAACGATCTTGAGTGCGGTTAGACGTGTTCGGGTGGTTATCCCTTCCCGGTTGCCCACACTGTGGAAGGGTTCTTCTGGAGGTACCTGAAATGAAACTGTGTTATAGGTGATCTTGGTGACCTGAAAGCGTGACCACAATGTCCAAGGGATAACTGCTTGAGGTCGGTCACACACAACCTTCTTGTGAGCAATTTTTGTGTTAGCTCCGTACTTGTTAGGACCTTACCGCCGGAGACGTATATATCCGTGGGATAAGGCGAGGTGTACATTTTTAGGGTCGACATTTTCTAACCCCACCTCCCCTTGCGGGAAGGCAGCATCTCTGTTATGCTGGTTGTCTGAGGGAAACGCCTTGCTGCTGTCACATCTCTGTACAGTCAGCAGTACGATTTCGCCTTCTGACCTTGGGTTTGCTGGTTTTAGTTTTACCGCTCTTCAACCGACCTTTCTGGCATAGTAGGACCTTGTGGAACGATTATTCCAGCCAGTTTAGCTTGTTTGGTTTTATACTATCAGCAAGCCTGACCACCACTTTAAGGTAGCAGCAACAGTCGTGATTGTAATACCGTAAGTTGGTTCCAATAGTGATATTATTAGTAGTAATGATAATAATATGGAATTTAATTCTTTATTCACTTCCAAACATTACTATATTTTGAATTGTTTGTTTCGAATATTATTTGAGGATGCAGCAATGATCTGATCATTATTCATTCAAGATGAAATATCGTCAACAAATTTTTCAATTTTTTCGTTAAACTATTCCATTATTCATAAGTTAATTATGAAGTTAAATAATCTTAACGGTATTACTCTGATCAGGATTATCACGTAAATATTTATTTACTTTATTATTGTTAGTTAATAAATTATTTGTTAATGATTAAACAGATGTAATGCACGATTATGAACTGAACTATTTAGTGAATATGTAATTGTAAAAGTACAATGTTTACTATGATGTATTTATGTTTACTATGAGAATCATAATCAGAACTTACTAGAGATAAGTCTTTTATCCAATCACAAGCAAAGCCAAAAGATTAGCTTTAAATAACTTTTAAAAGCAAACAAATGATAAATAGGCCAAAACATCCATTAAACAGGATACGTAAATGGATTTATTTTGAGTCAACTCTCTGATGGTTTTATTCAAAAAGCATATCAAATATTTAAATTCAGCCATATTATCAACTGAATATTTTAGTTATCATGAAATTTTATCAAAATAAATGAATTAGGTATTTTTGATAGTTTTTCATCTGGCATTATAAGTACAAATAGGAATGTTTCTTCGTTGTGACTTGTAAAATTGTTAATACAGTATAATGGTGGTGATAAATATTACAAATTTATGAAAATGTATGTATGATTTACTAAGAATTTTTATATGCGTGTATGGTAAAAAAAATATAAAGTAAAAATAGATCATTCATAAAGTTTATAAATAATGTGTATAAACATTTAGTTAATAATAATAATAATGTGGGACCGGAGTCAAACAAGGCTGTCTGCTTTCCCCCTTCCTCTTTCTTTTGGTGGTTCACTGGATTATGAAGACCTCGACGTCTGACAGGAAGCACGGAATACAATAATCATCTAAGAACCAATTAGATGATTTGGACTTTGCAAATGACCTAGCCCTCCTATCTCATACACACGAACAAATACAGACGAAGATAGATGATGTAGCAGCATCCTATGCATCAATAGGCCTCCACATTCACAAAGGAAAAAGCAAGATTCTCAAATACAACACGGAGACCACCAACCCAATCACACATGATGGACAAACTCTGGAAGAGGTGGAAACATTCATGTATCTGAGAAGCATCATTGATAAACAAGGAGGATCTGATGCAGATGTAAATGCGAGGATTGGCAAAGTAAGGGCAGCATTTTTACAATTGAAGAACATACGGAACTCAAAACAACTGTCAACTAACTTCAAAGTGAGAATCTTCAATACGAACGTCAAGACAGTCATACTGTACGGAGCTGAAACGTGTGGAACTACTAAATCTATCGTCAAGAAGGTACAAGTATTTATAA